GTCCGTGTGTGTGTGCGTATTTACCCGTACACGTATGTACGTATGTACCTGATGCCATGGCACGAAGTTAGAGGTGCATCTACCCCATGGATCAAACTTTGTATGACACTATGAGATGCTTAATTCTCATATTGTTTAAAATGCATGCCATTGACACAAAGAACTTAATTCTTTTACTTTAAGCATTGTAGGAATACGGGAACGCCTTATCAAGTGTGCAACCGCATCTCCGATCTTTTGCTAAATTTGCAAAATCGTCTCTATGAATGTCAAAACTGATTTCTCCCCCCCCCCCTAAACAGTAATATTTGGTAATACCAACATTTTGACTTACTGAATTTGAGGATCATCAAGACGGAGGTTCAAGGACACAACGTGAGAACAGTCATAGGGAAAAGACTTTTGTGTTTCTTGGGGCCGCCCACATTCCTGGACCCAGGGCCTCGTAAAACCTTCCAAACCTGGTCCTGGCAACACAGAAAACCAGGAAAGTAACAGGAAGTCCTGTACTCTAATGCATCAGTTGTGCTGTTTACCAGTAGCAGAAATACGGATTCACTCAGTTCAGTGCCTAAAATGCTTTATGAATTGTATCTATCGTTTCGATTTATGTAGTGGCGTATCGAGGCCTTGTGTTAGCCGTAATGAATGAAACAAAATGCCTTCCGTTGTCTTTCGTGGAGATTGTGACAAGCAGTTGTGGATATTACAACTCGTTATACTTAGTACTTGGTACTTGGAGGTTATCCTCTTCAGAACTCCTCGAGGAAGTCTATAACTAAGAGGCTAAACCCGCGGTCTAACTAAGAGGTTATACCCGCGGTGCTTTCCTCTCTTCATCTTTAAAAACAAAACCGGCTCAGTGTGTATTCTAACATTCCACCAAACTGCTCAAAAATACTCATTCACAAATTACATTAGCTATTACATACAGTCGTTTTGGCTCACAAGAAATACGACTCTCTTAGGGTTATTAAAGGCAAAGCAATCACGAGTTTCAATTCTTCTAACGTCAGGATTTAAAAGCATGATTATACGTTATCAGCGCACAGAATTTTCGCTAATTTGAATGCGTCAACCGTCAAAAGGTTGCAAAGACTTAATTTAAGACTGCTACAATTTAAGTCTTGAATACACCAAAACGAAATAGGCTGCTCGAAAACGAAAACGAACATTCACAGCAAAATCTTGGCTGCCTAAAAATGAAATTGAATGAACCCCAAATGAAAAAGGAACCCCAATTGGACCACATGTGTAAAACGCACGCAAAATTGGATGGCTGATAATGAAAATGATTAGAAAAATTCGGAAATTCGCCGGGAAAACCTATATTATTATTTTTAAGAGCAGCTATTTACATTTTTAAGAGCAGTTATTTTTATTTTTTAGAGAAGTTACTTATATTGTTAAGAGCAGTTATTTTTTACTTTTAAGAGCAGCTATTAATATTTTCAAGAGCAGTTTTGTTAATTTTAAGAGCAGTTATTTTTATTTTCAAGGGCAGCTTTTTTATTTTCAATATTACAGGCTGCACTTTTGAGGAATGTACATATAAAGTACTTAGGCTGGCGCCACTGCATGCACCAACACGACTGCATCAAAGATATAGAGCGGGGAAGATCGGACACTGGGTATCTATTTATATGGTGACCTGTGAAACACGATGACGTCATCAAATCGGGCCCTTTGGGGAAGGGCGCCGCCTACGTCTTCGGAAATAAAAACAATTTCTCTCGAAAAAAAAATAACTGCTCTAAAAATATATATTAATGACTGCTCTCGAAAAAAAACTGCACTGGAAACAAAGCACTGCTCTCAGAAAACAAAATAACGGCTTTGGCAAAAATATAACCGCTCTGGAAAAAATATAACTGCTTTCGAAAATGAAATAGCGATGGCACTAACGGGCTTTCGTACATTTCGAGCCCTCATTGGCATTTGTAATTGGCGAATAAGGATACTAAGCTCTGAGAGTTATGGGATAGAAGTCAGTGAATGTGGTTGAAAAATCAGTGGACAAGTCCGAAAGTGTAAAAATCATGTGCCGGGGGGGGGGGGGGGGGGGGTCGGAACACCCCCTCCCAAGCTCTGACTCATATTGATTTCTTCATTGAAATATAGGTTTTTCCGGCCAATTTCACCATGTGTTCATTCAATTTAACGCCTGGCTCTATTGATTTAGATTGAAATTGAAAGATCACGCAGATCGGCATTCGACTATCAAAAATAATCATTCTATTTCACTATCCGAGCATTCTATCGCCTTTTAGCTTCACTCGTCCCTATCAAAGATGCATTCATGTTAAAAGTATCGCGTTGTTCATTCAATTTCGTCTAAACCATTAGTAAGGGGTTGATCGGGCATACGTTTTCATTAATGGGCAAACATATTTCACATTTTGTCAAACATCTTTGAAGACTTCATACGTGTCCGTATTCCTTAGCGTAAATCGTATTTGATGACTTCAAACCGTAGATTGACTTTCTTTCTTAATTAAAGGGTGCAATGAATGTGCAATGAATTTTTCTCAGGAAGTTTTTTGCGCAACTCTGTGAAATGTAAGAAAACTACACATTTGACAACACTTTTTGGGTTAATCGTATTGCAAATGTGCACTTCTTTGAACATTTAACAGTTTCCATGCTTTTCCGGACTTACGCTGTTACCGTGATGTCATTTCAGGAAGACACTGTTCAGTTCAGGGTTTTTTTCTTACAAATTATTCACACAAAATTTGCTAATTGAAAACATTTGTGGGAAAGGGTTGGTCATTGGCTTACTGCCATGTGCTGACACATCATATAATCACCAAATAAAAGAAAATTATGACAGCAAAAATATCCAAAATTCTAGCAACTTTTTTTTTGCTGAAATCTTGGCTGCCTAAAAATGAAATTCAACGAACCCCAAATGAAAAAGAAACCCCAATTGGACCACATGTGCAAAACTCACGCGAAATTGAATGGCTGATAATAAAAATGATTAGAAAAATTCGGAAATTCGCCGGGAAAACTTAAAGGCCTATTATTATTTTTAAGAGCAGCTATTTACATTTTTAAGAGCAGTTATTATTATTTTTGAGAGCAGTTATTTATATTGTTCAGAGCAGTTATTTTTATTTTTAAGAGCAGCTATTAATATTTTTAAGAGCAGTTTTGTTAATTTTAAGAGCAGTCATTTTTATTTTCAGGGGCAGCTTTTTTATTTTCAATATTACAGGCTGCATTTTTGAGGAATGTACATGTAAAGTACTTAGGCTGGCGCCACTGCATACACCAACACGACTGCATCAAAGATATAGAGCGGGGAAGATCGGACACTGGGTATCTATTTAAATGGTGACCTGTGAAACACGATGACGTCATCAAATTGGGCCTTTGGGGAAAGGCGCCGCCTATGTCTTCGGAAATAAAAACAATTGCTTTCGAAAAAAAAATAATAAAGAAAGAATATATTAATAACTGCTCTCGAAAAAAAATGCACTGGAAAAAAAAGAACTGCTTTCGGAAAACAAAGTAACGGCTTTGGCAAAAATATAACCGCTCTGGAATTGAATGAACCCCAAGTGAAAAAGAAACCCCAATTAGACCACATGTGCAAAACTCACGCGAAATCGAATGGCTGATAATGAAACTGATTAGAAAAATACAGAAATTCGCCGGGAAAACCTATATTACAAAACTGACCTCGATATTGTAACCTACAACTAAACCAAAAAGAATTCAATGCTAAATAACGTTTAACCATATCTTACAACGCGAGAAGATTACACTTACCACTACTGCATCATAACGTTAGCCAATCAAGGCTACGGTTTATCACCTGAAGACCAATCAGTAAATTACACACAGCGCGTTCGATTGCTTCACCCGCGCTACTACTCGTGCAAGCGCGGGACAGCATTCGATTGACCTCTCACGTGACTTCTCGCGCTAACTGGAGCCTGGCCCAACTAACCGACTCGCCGAGCTGGTTATTTGGGTAAGTATCCCATAAGGCCATCATGGCCATGCAACGTCCGGCGGGCGCCTCAGGCCGTGTCCGAAACGGGCTTCCATGGAGCATAGAGCTACAAACCCTATGTAGCTCTATGCACGCAGCTACGGCTATACAAATTATTGTCAGAGCGGCCCGCGTATTTGCACTGGGCGTGGACGTGCTCTAGGCAGTTAATTGATTCGGATGCAGCCTTGGAAAATGTTGCAACCTGACGCCACTTCCGCGATTGTGTACAAAGTCTATGGAGAGTCAAGAATTTTTTTCTAACAAATTTGGAAATATATTTCAGTCCCAGATTCATGTCTTATCATAATTTTTGCAATGAATGACCTTCATTGAGATGATATATTATGAAGGAAAAAGTGGCGTCAGGTTGCATCATTCTCCCCCCCCCCCTGGAAAAGCACAAAAAAGGAAGAAAAAAAGTGAGAAAAAAAAAGAAAAAAAAAGAAAAGAAGCGATAACTCATATTGGTGTAACTTTAATGGGGGCGGAACTGATAAATCGAGAAGATGTTGAGAAAAACAAGATCTTTTTGGAAAATATGTTTTGCCCCCCTCTAGAAAAATCCTGGCGACGCCCATGTTTCCAGCTCTTGCACGAAACTTTACCTGAAACCGTTCGTTTATTTAACTCCACTGCGCATGTCTGTCATTACGCCAGGAGCCACACGAGAGTAAGCTGGGGGAAGTAATCGAACGCACTCTCATCCTTTGCATCTACCTTTTCCAATCGAAGCAGTACCAAATTCCATCACCACCGATCATCAGTATCATTCAAGTTATCTACGGTTGCAGATGGAGAAAATGGCGCAACAACATTTTGTTTTGGAGTCATTTTACAAAGTATCCTTGGTGATCCAGGGAACTATCTTGATTGTCTCTGGATTGGAAACTTCACCTTATTCAGGCGAACATACATTTTACGCTGCAGAAAATCGCGCACTACAAGGGTCAGCATATGCAAACAAAACTCTGCGTTCTCGCGTCCTCTGTGCACGGGAATGCAGCATGGATGAACGTTGCAAGTCGTTTGACTTTAACGACTGCAATAACATGTGCGAGTTACACCTTGCCACAAGACGAGAGCATCCCGAAGACTTCAATGCAACTCAAGGAAGTGTGTACTTTGATGCAGATGAGGACACACCTCTCTACTCACTGACTAATAGTCCCTTGAATTCCAACAGAAGTTGCAAGATGCTCTTAGATGCCGGTTATCGTTCAAGCGGTATCTACACAATCAACCCAGAGGGATTCGGTAATGGCGGTCTTCGTGTCTACTGTGACATGGAAACTGACGGCGGAGGATGGATCGTGTTTCAGAGGCGACAAGATGGCAGTGTGGACTTTTACCGTAACTGGGACGAGTACCAGTCTGGCTTTGGCGATCTGTCCGGTGAGTTCTGGTTGGGCAATGAGAACTTGGTGACTCTGACGTCTGATGATTCACAAGGAACATGGGAGCTACGCGTTGATTTGGGGGACTGGGCGGGCAACACGGCATGGGCAAAGTACGCAGATTTCCAAATATCCCCGGGTGAGTACAGTCTGAATATTGGCCAATACGATGCCAGCAGCACTGCCGGTGACTCTCTTGCGTTCAGCAGAGGACATCCCTTCTCAACAAAGGACAATGACAATGATGCATTGGGATCATATAGTTGTGCACAATCCCGCCACGGAGCCTGGTGGTTTGGTGGTTGTTCGCATTCCAACTTGAATGGTGAATATTACCCAGATGAGCATGCAGCCGCTAATGAAAAGGGCGTGCATTGGCGCCACTGGAAAGGCCGATCCTATTCTCTGAAAACCAGCCAGATGAAACTCCGTGCGATGCTGCAATGAGTACTTTTTTGCGAACTGACATTAAGTTGGTTATTGTAAACTCATTATTTAATATTGACACACCCACCGTGGAGGGCATGGCAAATTTCCAAAGCGACGGAGCCTACCGGAGTGTGGATGTAAAATCCCTTCCCGGCCTTAATAAACAATAGATGAAAACCAAAATGAAAAAATATATTGAATGAAACGACGGGTAAAGTTTAATCGGGATTTTTTTTTTGTCAAGTTTAAAATTATTTGCGACCTGACAACAATTCATTTGGTAGACTGGTTTCAACCTCTATCAGAACCAGTGTACTTGCAGAGCAGAGCTGCTAGAGAAAAAAAACAGGTTTATTTGGGGTTTTTTTGGACGCCCACAAAAGCGAAAAAAAAAGCAGGTGAATTGAAATTATCCGCCGTATATTTATATTCAACACTTTTGGTTAAATGTGAAAAGTTGTTTAATCTTGTGCTTTATGATCTATCGATAAGTGGCAGCCAAAACAACACATTATTTAACACTGTCTCGAGCTCACAAAAAGGATAAAGGCTAAAATTCAAAACGTTGTAAGTCTTGATGGAGAAACAAATATTGTACAAATAAATCATTGCATCAATGAAATCTAGTTCAACAAATGATATCAATTCAAAACTTTGGTCGCGGGATTTTCCTCCTGCCGAAAGAATACAACTCAAAATTGTTCCACTTATCTGCAAACTCATCGTCGTTACAGAGTTACAGTTACGATTTCAGCTCTTCACTCTAAAAAACATTAGTCAGATTTGACTAAAAACGAGTCAAATTTGACTAGCCATTCAGGGTCAGCTGGGTGCTGCAACTAAAAATCGGTCAATCTGACTAGATTTTTCCAGTCAGTATTATTGACTTTGGGAAAAATAGTTACGCAAATAACTAAGATTGGAGTCGAACCCTACCACTTTGTTTGTCATATTATGAAACTTTGCATGGTTAACTAAATTCCTAGTCGTACCATTTTCAATAACAAGGAAAACCAGTCAATATTTTGACCAAGTTGTTTTTAGAGTGTTGTACAATTTGATTTTGTCGCTTTGCTCAAAATTGTTATGTAAAGATAATTGAAATGATAAGATACGATTGTCAAAAATGACCGAAAAAACAAAATCCAAAAAACCAGTTGCCATCCCATTTAGTTTATCTATAGCTGAACATGCCGCATAATTTAACGTGTGCACTACTACTAGTGTTTGTTAAATTAAATTCAATTTACCTGAATGGAGTATAAAGCTACAGGGTGCAAAAAAAAAAGGAAAAAAAAGTTAATTTGGTTGGATCTAAATGTAGTTATTTGCTATTTTGCTTGTACATTGCATGATGTAAGTAATAACATATGTCGTTGAATAAGCTGAGTGATAAGAACCAAACCATTATTGATTCTTATCACTCAGTTTGCTGTTTGCTATTTTGCTTGTATATTGCGGCACGAAACAAAAAGGTTCCAATGACCTATGACGTTGAATAAACCGAGTGACAAGAACCAATCCATGTTTCAGTTTTCCTGATTCATTCAAAGTTTTCTGTTTGCAAGAATGCGATTCTAGTCTTGTGTTTAGCAGCTGTAGGGCCATTGGGCTATGTTTCAAAACAACAGTTCCAAAATGTATCTTCTAATTGACTTAGAGTGCAGAAAAAAGCATCGGAGATTATTTTTTTCAGTGAGCATGTGTAGTCAAAAAAACAAGCACTGCTCCGAAGCACAACCTGTGATTCTAGTAGTACCAGTTTTAACAGCTGTAGGGATACTGAGGTTTTGCTGAAACCCATCGCCATGAAAAAAAAAAAATGCATGCCCAGGCTCTAAAATTGCCCTATTGTGCAATAAAATAGAGCAATTGTAGAGCCTTTTTCATCCGCATTTGACATAAATACAGCCTCGTTGTTCTTGTCAAAGCCCCCACCCTTCTTTTGAACAAACCCTCAAGTTCATGGCCCACAAAATACTCTAATAGCAAAGAAATTGGGGGAATGCGAATCGTGATTGCAGGGCGTAGGCAACTTCACAACTTTGAGTTCAGCTCATTAAATTCCACCTATAGAGGGCGGCATACGGGTTACCTGGTGACACTATCAACAATACATGCATGCTTAGGTTTAAACTCCAGCTCCAACCATTGCGAACTATATGCATAATTTGTACTTAACTTGACTGACTCGCTGACGGACCTATTCACTGTCACTTGAAATTAGAGTTATCTATGTCTCTCGCTGACTGACAGACTGACTGTCTCCCCGACTGACTGTCTTTTTACAGCGTGGCCACTCCTTGGAAGTTTTCCCCAAGAACTTTGGTTGATTATTTGGGTTTTTGAATGAAGGCCTTCGAGGTATTCGAGGATGGGTGTGGCAAGCCATTGCCTCCGCCATCCGGAGCTAGAAGCCCATGACACCATCCTCAGTTTACCCACAGTAATGGCTTTGTTTGTCCTGTGTTGTTTACTAGCTGTTTTGCACAAGTTTCTGCTCATTTATTAATTTTCTTTATTTTTTCCCTATTAGGAAAAAGCTGTATGGTCTATTGCAACAGGGTATCTGTTGTTATGATCTATTTGCTTCTTTGATTTTGCCGTTAATTTGATATTACTGAGTTTGAAATGTGTTTTTTTCATGAAGCATGGAAATAAATGTGAATTTTAATGGAATTGAAAAAATAAACTTACTTGGTGAAAATAATATATCTGCATAAAAAAAATTGCATCACGACTTTGAGAAATATAAGGGTAAAAAATAGAGCCAATTAAAGGTACATGTTTCATGATTGCATGAATGGTATCATTGAAACTCCAGTATAGCTGCCAAAATACATGCATTCTTCTCTGCACAAATTTCGAATCACTGCAAATGATTTCAAAATAAACATGAACTTGCTCTAAAACATTAAACATTATGGTTTGTCTTTATCCGATCTCTTCGACTAACAAACATCCATTATTTCTCATACTGTTTTTGTTAAGCGTCAGTGAATTTTATTTCTTCATCCTACGCTGGCTTCTGATGCATATGAGTTTCATCACATAAAATGACTGCTAGAAAATGCCGTTACTTGTTTGAACCAATTTCTGGGCTATATGTATCTAGTCCCCAGGCGCTGCTTTCAGAGCACAAATGACGTGACTGCACAACATAAGTACGACTGGACCGTGGAAAATTCAAAATCGAGATGTTGTTTGATGACACGGCTGCTGTTTATGAAACACCCTTGTGCATTATCCACGTCTTAGTTACCTTTCTCTGGGCTCCGTGCGCTAACAAAGAGGGCGCTTTGTGAGCCCCTTGGACGGGACACGGTGAGCGTTTCCGAATCCCTGTTCTTGACAACACGCGTGTAACACGAGAACGTGTTCTCGAGCTGGTTGTTAGGGCCCTGTCACACTTCTGCGTATCCTAATTCCTTATGAGTTGCGCTTTGACTTTTTTTTCATACGCAGTCGTACGCACAATACGCACCTCGTATGCATCTCTATCGTTTTGTGTACGTTTTATATACGCATGCATACGCATGGTACGGCCCAGTACGCCGGATAGTTTTGGGCATGCACAAAACTACGCTGCGTACGCTGTTATGCAGGTCATACGTTATAAATACGCAGCGCATCGGTCCCGCATCGGTCGAGTGCGTTACGAGTACGCTATGTGCTCGTGACGCACCCCGTCAGCATATGAGCCACCTGTATTGGACTTATACATAACGTATCTGCAGCGCAGATGCAACGCACGCTGAACGGCGAGCGGCAGAAATGCGGCGGGAATACGCTCAGAAGTGCGTCAAGCATGCGGTCGGCATAAATCGGGTGCGTTTGGAATACGCTCGGCATGCGCACTGCATAATGACCTATTCGCATCCCGAAAAATAATGTTGTGCACTGCATACGCAACTCATACGCATCTCATACGCAATGGATGCGCTGAATTCGTTACTTGTACGCTAGATGTGCGTTGCACATAAGTCAAAGTGATCAAAACATTTCGACGTTAATTGAGCGTAGGGCAGCGTATTGAAACATTTTGAACGCGCGTATTGAACGCGCGGGTGCGTGTCAAATCGATATAAAGCAATGCGAAATGGCCGACAATCGTCTGAATTTGTACTTAGGCCTATTCCAAATGAACGAGGACGACTGTTGCAAAACCGGACATGTGGAGATGAAATTGCAGACCTGCACTATTATAATGGTATTCTTATTCCAATCATTAGGGTATTAGCAACAACAAAAAAACACACAAAACAACTGACGAATCTGCACAGTCCGCCATTTTGTTCAAGCTGCACCTCGCCGAACCCTCCATCAACCAGGGAGTAAAAAAATCGATCCGCGAACGCCCCATCGGGTCTGTTCGTCACGTTCGAGACCGCTGTTCTCGTGTCGGGTTTACCCGAGTGTTGTCAAGACAGGAATTCGAAAACGCCCCTCATGTGGGTACTGCACTGGATGGCGCGCGAAGTACACACGAACTTTTGTGTACAAAGCTAAGCAATAACGTCTTCGCTCGTGAGCGCCAAGCTTCGTAAGCGCGCAGATACGTTCCAATTTAACTTGCAATGGTCTCCAAAACTAACCCCGAACCCCAATAACTTTGGATCATTCGAAATAGACAGTGAATGGACCGGGAACCGGGTTTCCCAACTCTCCTTTTCTTGCCTTTGAAGAGGTACTTGTGCACGGAGCCCATTAATAATGCGGATTATATATTAAGATCAATACTTTGTGTTTATGAATTCTTATAATTATGCGTGTTTTAAATTGTGATTTATTTGTAGGAGACCTTAAATTTGGAAAGCAATGCATTGACCTGGACTTAAAATAGTTTAAAAAGCAGTTGATTGTTTTTTTTATAGATCGTGGCCACCCCCCATTGAACTTTATGTTTGTGTCTCCAAAATTGTCCTGTCGGACAAATCATGTGCCGGGATGAAGGGTGCCACCTATTGTCCAAATCTATGATCGTCCGCTTTGAAAAGCGCACCGTTAGGGTTCCATGCGCCAACAACAGCTTTTTCACCACTTTTTACCACATTCTCAAAAATATCATATTGCGCACGCTCTCAGGCCTTCTTACAGCCCTCCTTACATGGTAGCAATTCAATGGCTTTAAGTGGCAACTATGGGCTCAGAAACCAGTCCAAGTGTCAGACAAACAGGGTCACTACAGCAAGGCTTACATGTGGCAAATTGCCAATATCGGTGTCAACAAGGAATTAATTCGTATTCACTGATCACATCTATTCATCTTGAAGAAAATGAAAACTGAACGACATCTTCTCGACCCCGCCCCCCCCCAAAAATGACGCATCTTGGCAATCACGTGCAAATTTTCATTATTGGGGACGTTTTCTGTTCATGCCACCGTCGATATAAGTTGTATGGCCTATATCTTTCTAGTTAATGATATTGTAATGTTATGGGTCACAGCGGATGTAGATTGCGCCCTCTATTTACAGACACTGTCGGTTGTTTGTGCAAAATAAATCAGCCCTTCTTACATGGTAGCAGTTTTCTCGACCTCGTGTCTTTGCTTGTGTCCCAGTATGACAAAATATAACTGTTCGGTAGATTGCAAAAACATCAAAAAAAATATAACAGGCGGAGCATTTCCCAAAACTTTATTAAGAGACTCCACTCGGGTGAGATCTACGCAGTGACGTAGCCAGGGATTTTTCAGTGGGGGGCGCTGGGGGGGGGGGGAGGAACATTTTATGGGGGGGGGCGCCATGTAGATCAATGATAATTCTTTTAGAAAATCTCAGTGGGGGGGCGACAAGGTTTCATGGGGGGAACCTTAACGATATTTAACTGCGTTTCATTATAATATCAGGGATCTCTTATCTAGTGTAGTGGTTCTAATACAGCGTGGCCTACTTGTGCAGCAATTGCCAATCAATGTCTGCCTTGAGCTTCTATTTAACGCGCGTTTTTACAGGTATTTGGGAGTGTCAGGATTGTCCTCGTGAGGTGGAGTTCCGGAATTGGGCAACAGAAAATCACCAACCTGATAACGGCTAAGGTATAGAGGACTGTGGTGAGGTGGTTCCATATCCCGCAGGGAAATGGAATGATGCTGAATGCGAAAAGCAACGCCCTTGAAATAAGACTGACAATCTTTGAATGCCCGAACAGAATTCGAATCACAAGGACTTGGATACAATTCCTTATGATCACTGAAAGTAAAGGTATTTATCTTTTTTTAATTGAAATTGTTGCGATATATAAACAAAGTTCATTTGAAAAAATCCACGAAAAGGATCCACTAATACTAGAATTGCATTTTAGAAGACATATACAAGGGGTACAGTTCGTGTTTCTGCAAAAAACTTACAAAATATCTAGTTGTTTTCGAACGCGATGGAAAAGAAAAACTAAAGTTGTTTTGGTAACTTCAATTTTTGGGAATAGCACGGTACTTCTTGTTAAGGCCTATAAACGGATAGTGAGCTCAATTGTCGAGTTCATGTTGTTTTGTTCACTAGATATCACCAGGAATAAAGAGATCACAGACAAGAAGAATTTGCATGCCGAGGGATTTTTTTTTGCTTGAAAGAAACAGGTAAAATTTATAAACCATTCAATTAGCAGTTATTCTTGCACAACAAAACTGAAAAGAATTATATAAAAACCAAACAAACAATCAAAAGAACCTTTAAAAAGTATTTTTAAAAATGAAAAAATATTTTATAAAGCAATTGATATGACACCACCACCACACTTAACAAAAATCCCTTTAACCCCTAAAGGCATTTATAATTATTAATGGCTTAAAGCTTTGCATGGAGGATGAGATAAAGTAGAAAGATTGCGGGTAACACCATGTGGAAAGAAATCTCTTCTTGGAAGAAGTGTGGTTCTGAAAAGAACCGATTGGTTGAGTGCATTATAATTATGATCATTTGCCTATATCCCAAAAGTAGCACAGTGAAATATTATCAAAACTTTACTTGGATTATGATCGCACTGTTAAACATCCCGTGAACGTTAGTCCATCTGGCTTGCTGTAATTTAGAAGAAATCAAGAAATGTCGGAGTTTTCCAACGATCAGTCACTTGAGTGATATTTGGAAATAACGAGAGTGCTACTGACGAAATCCTTTCGTGATCAAAAGGTCACTAGTGTGCAGGGTTTTTCACTGTTTTCTCGAAATCTGTATTCACTGAGCTGAAACCTCAACAAGTTTGATTTCTAACAGTCTTGGATTTGTAATGCATGGTGTTATTATGAAAAGCGAGTGATCATTTTATGCCGTTATCAAATAACACTAAACAGCCCACCTACAAATATAATATCAAAAAAAACAAACAATAAAACCAAACTTAACCAAAAATCAATATTTAAAATAAAACTTAAATTTGTAATAATACTAGTTTTACACCACCACCATTGTGTTTTCGTTAGTAATATTTGTTAAAAGCGAGGGAGGGTATCACTCGTGGTTTTGAGTTGCTGATTATACCGAAATTAACCCTTTATTACTTACTGTTTCCCTCTTTTTTCGTTTTTCTTTTGCGCCTTTTTTTATGGGGGGTTGCTTTTCCGAGGTGTGGTCAAGTGCAGCATATGTAACAATATGAAAATGTTCTTGTATATGATATTAAGAGCAATATTTCGGGTTTACATTATTTTCTCTGTAAAAAAAAATAATAAAAAAAAAAAAACATTCACCATAACTGTAAAGAATACCATTGTTAAATTGTCTAGTTAATTCAAAGATGGACATCGTCAAATCTGTTCCTGATTCAAAGGGAGGTACCGGCCGAGAAGATGCTTAGCAACCTCCGGAGGACAACACATCAACGTAGACCTCACAGAGTTGAAGAGTAGCAGTACCCGGAATATCGACGCTCACGTAGCGAGCCCTCAACGGTCGGTCGCAGTCAATCTCGACGATCCCTCCCAATGGTTGGGCTTGACTGATAGTGACTGGTGCCCCGCATGCCGGGTTCTGTGTGACGGTCCCGCTCAGACCAGCACGAACCTGGGCGTGGAACAGTCGTTCACCTTAAAATACAACGACGTACAGAATAAGTATCATTGCGTACGTTAGGCCATAGATGAACCGATTTCTTATTCAACAGAGAAGAATTTAGAACCAGTTAAACGATCCTAATGTACATTCTGTAATACTTACTGCAACAGTCTCCACGGTTCAGGATGGTTACCTTGGTAACGCATTGCTCTTCTTCAAGATCGACTCTCCACCATGGGTTTCTAGTATCGGCAACTAATTCAAGGGGGGAAATGGACGACGTTATTTCTCAATTCTGTCTGCCTCGACCAAATATTAATTTAGCTTCGAGTCCTTGGGTGAGATTTCCATTTTCAGACATGTGAATGTATCAAGAAACATTCAATATTCACACCCAAAGCTATCTGCTTCATAGGCTCAATAGTGCTCCTCAAAGTATCATCGCTGATATTCATGCATCAGCCTGAAAATAATATGATTTTTCTCAGCTTTCGTTTATAATACAAAAACAAGAAAATGGTAAGAGTAGGTCGACCGCCACTCCCGATGTCCTTCAGTTTTTCCTCCTATTTTGGTTTGTTTGTTAGTTTGTTTGTTCTAGAGCGGATCTCGTCCGATCTAAAAACTCAGAAGAATTACAGAATGTTCAATGATTAAAGATACTTTTAAAAATCATCTTTTAACATCATCTCACACATCGTGGATTCGCCGGGTATCAAGCCCTAATCAAAAAGGGGATATCATACCCGTGTGCGAACAATACGCGACATTTGATGACAGACTGCCGTCCACTGCGTTTGATGCTGGAAACTTTCCACTGCTATGGGATGTGCTTTGTAAAGCCGGCTTACCAACGATACTGAACACTTGGGAAACTGTTTGGAAGACAAGTAAAAATCCAACAATTAAAATTTTCCAACAAAAACACCCTACTGCAGCTCGCTTTATTATACTTTTAGTTATCGTCACAAACTTTCAATCTGACAAACAAGAATGTTGAATTATTCAAGCTGAATGAGAAATCTTTACACAACATCTACAGAAACAAAGAGTACTAACATCTTTTTTGAAATTAATTTCTAGTTTGCCCCATCACAAGTAAACAGCCATGGGTGATCGATCATTATGTTGAGAACATCCTGGGCTCCAAAGAAATAGCAACATGGAAATTAAAATGTTATCTTTAAAAAATGGCAATGTTTGTCATGTTTAACCTATGGAATTCCTTCTTTCTTGATTGGATATTATGAGTGAACCTTCGGAGTTGTTATCCTTGATTATTTTCATCAGGGCACGGAATTTTCAACCAGGAATTTGCAGGCTCGTTACCTTGCCAATCGTAAGAACAAGATGTTGGGAGACTTTTAATCTTGAAACTTACCCTCGCATTGATCAAAGGGGAATTCCTCCACCGTCACCTCACAAAGTTGCAAGGTGCCCGTACCAGGGATATTTACACTGACGTATCGCGCCCTCAACGCCGGAGAGCAATCAAACTCGATGATATCACCACGTGGTTGGGCTTGCGCAGCAGTTACAGGTGAACCACAAGTCGGGTTGATGGTGACATAGGAGCTGTCACCAGCGCGCACAATAGCGCCTTCCAGACGTTCGCCTGCACATGGAAATTCAAACAATCGGTTATTTTGGTGCAATATTCCCTGATGTTTTCATAACTATATAGCCTTCTTTTATTTTTGGATTCCGTTATACTCACTGCAGCAGTCTCCACGGTTCAGAATTCGGACTTTGCTGATGCAGTGGTCTTCTCCAAGATCGACTCTCCACCATGGATTCGAACTACCACCAACTAAGCAACAAAAATTAGTAAGAAAAATCTAAAGAAAGGAAACCTAACGAAATTCAATCTAGACCTCATAAAATCATCTCAAATCGTTTCTAAATTTACTAATGTCACCTGATATGTTTAACGCATGCACAATATGGAACGTGACTTTACTTATTTCAGTAGAAAAAAATTGAGTCCTAGACAAAATCAACATTGAATTGTACTTTTATTTTTCTAACAAAATGATTGCGTAGGCCACCTCTAGATATGTTTCGACTTGATTTGGGGTTTGGTTACTTCAAAACTCACACAAACGTTAATTAGTGAGTTAGCCCAAAATAAGTCAAGAAGGAAAACATTTAGCGTCACTAGAGGGGGAGGGGTTATGCCCAAGACATGAATAGCGCCACCCCTGGTCTGATGTTTAACCGTTTAGATTGATTATCTTACCCGTGTGTGAACAATACGCGACATCTGACGACAGACTGCCGTCCACTGCGTTTGTTGCTGGAAAGTTTCCGCTGCAATGGGATGTGCTTTGTACAGCCGGCTTACCAACGATACTGAACGCTTGGGAAACTGTTTGGAAGACATTTGTAGATGAAAGAATCAAACAGTTAAAATTATCCATCAAAAATTCCTACTGCAGCTGGCTTTATGATACTTATAATTAAGGTCACAAGCTTTTAAATCTGACAAAAAGAGAATGTTGAATTATTCAAGCTGGATGAGAAATCTTTAAACAACATATTTTGAAACTAAGACTACTAAAAACATTTTAAATCTATTTTCGAGTTTGCCCAATCACAGATAATCAACCATAGGTAATCCTAATGTTGAGAAAATCTTGGGCTCCAAAGAAATAGCGTCATTAAAATCCGAAAAAATGGCAATTTTTGTCATGTATATAGAATTTTTTGTTTCTTGATTGGATACAATGTGTGTACCTTCTGAGTTCTTATATGCTATTTCGTTCAGGTCACGATCAACCAAGAATTAAAGTTCCACGCTTGCTACCTTTCCAATCTTAAAAACAAGATGTTGAGACTTTTAACATGAAACTTACCCACGCATTTATCAAAGGGGAATTCCTCCACCGTCACCTCACAAAGTTGCAAGGTGCCCGTACCCTGGACATTTACGCTGACGTATCGCGCCCTTAACGCCGGAGAGCAATCAAACTCGATGGTACCACCACGTGGTTGGGCTTGGGCAGCGGTGACAGGTGAACCACAAGTCGGGTTGATGGTGACATGGGGGCTGTCACCAGCACGCACAACAGCGCCTTCCAGACGTTCGCCTGCACATGGAAATTCAATCAATCGGTTGGCCATTTTGGTGCAATATTACCTGATGTTTTCATAACTATAGCCTTGTTTATTTTTGGATTCCGTTATACTTACTGCAGCAGTCTCCACGGTTCAGAATTCGGACTTTGCTGATGCAGTGGTCTTCTCCAAGATCGACTCTCCACCATGGATTCGAACTAGCACCAACTAAGCAACAAACATTAGTTAAACCAAATCTAAAGAAGGAAACCAAACGAGATTCAATCCAGACCTTATCAATACATCTCAAATGATTTGGAAATTTAATTATGTCACGTGATATGTTTCACGCATGCGCAATATTGAACGTGACTTTACTTTTTCAGTAGAAAAACTTAAGTCCTGCACAAAATCAACAATGAATTGTACTTCTTTTCTCCTAACAGATGTGATTGCGTAGGCCACCTCGAGATATGTTTCGACCTGATTTGGGGGTTGGTAACTTCAAAACACACACAAACGTTAATTAGTTAGTTAGCCCAAAATAAGTCAAGCAGGAAAACAATTAGCGTTACTGGAGGGGGAGGGGTAACGCCTAATACATGAATAGCGCCACCCGTGGTCAGATGTTTTCCAGTCCCATTCGCAGTGTCCAGCCTGCCCTCTACCCCAACTTTTCCGACTAACGGAGTTGATTATCTTACCCGTGTGCGAACAATACGCGACATCTGATGACAGACTGCCGTCCACTGCGTTTGATGCTGGAAACTTTCCACTGCTATGGGATGTGCTTTGTAAAGCCGGCTTACCAACGATACTGAACGCTTGGGAAACTGTTTGGAAGACAAGTAATAATAATAACAGGTTCTTATATAGCGCTTTTAGCCAAGATCAAAGCGCTTTACATTATTATTACCCCCTAATCAATGGGCCAATTAAACATTCCATATACCATCTCAGCTCCCTGGGGAGTATACAGCTCGATGCTGCCTGTTAGGCGCAAGGAAGCTAGTTCAATCACAATAACCATTACTGCCCTCATAGGTACCCATTTACTCCTGGGTGGAAAGAAGCAATGAGTGACAAAGTGCCTTGCCCAAGGGCACACGCACCATGACCCCGCCAGGACTCGAACCCACAACCTGCAGCTTTACCCACAGACCACGAATCAGTGCCCTTAACCACGAGGCCACAGCACTCCACCAATTAAAATTCTCCAATAAAAACACCCTACTGCAGCTGGCTTTATTATACTTATAGTTATGGTCACAAGCTTCAATCTGACAAACAAGAATGTTGAATTATTCAAGCTGGATGAGAAATCTTTACACAACATCTTCAGAAACTAAGTCTACTAACATCTCTTTGACATTTTTTTCTAGTTTGCCCCACCACAAGTAAACAACCATAGGTAATCATTATGTTGAGAACATACAGGGCTCCAAAAAAATAGCGTTATTCAATTCCAAACGTTATCTTTAAAAAATGGCAATTTTTCGTCATGTATATATAATTCCTTGTTTCTTGAGTGGATATATGTGCGTACCTCCGGAGTTCTTATCCTCGGTTATTTCCAGCAGGGCACGATCAACCAGGAATTAAAGTCACACGCTCGCTACCTTTTAAATCGTAAAAACAACATGTTGAAACTTTTAACATGAAACTTACCCACACATTGATCAAAGGGAAATTCCTCCACCGTCACCTCACAAAGTTGCAAGGTGCCCGTACCATGGATATTTACGCTGACGTATCGCGCCCTCAACGCCGGAGAGCAATCAAACTCGATGATACCACCACGTGGTTGGGCTTGGACAGCGGTGACAGGTGAACCACAAGTCGGGTTGATGGTGACATGGGGGTTGTCACCAGCACGCACAACAGCGCCTTCCAGACGTTCGCCTGCACATGGAAATTCAAACAATCAGTTGGCCATTTTGGTGCAATATTCCCTGATGTTTTCAGAACTATAGCCTTCTATTATTTTTGGACTCCCGTTATACTTACTGCAGCAGTCTCCACGGTTCAGAATTCGGACTTTGCTGATGCAGTGGTCTTCTCCAAGATCGACTCTCCACCATGGATTCGAACTATCACCAACTAAGCAACAAACATTAGTAAAACAAAATAAAAAGAAAGGAAACCAAACGAGATTCGATCTAGACCTTATAAATTCATCTGAAATCATTTGAAAATTCAATTATGTCACGTGATATGTTTCACGCATGCGCAATATGGAACGCGCGTTTACTTTTTCAGTAGAAAAAACTGAGTCCTGCACAAAATCAACAATGAATTGCACTTCTTTTTTCCTAACAGATGTGATTGCGTAGGCCACCTCGAGATATGTTTCTACCTGATTTGGGGTTTGGTAACTTCAAAACACACACAAACGTTAATTAGTAAGTTAGCCCAAAATAAGTCAAGCAGGAAAACAATTAGCGTTACTGGAGGGGGAGGGGTAACGCCTAATACATGAATAGCGCCACCCGTGGTCAGATGTTTTCTAGTCCCATTCGTAGTGTCCAGCCTGGCCCCACCCCAACTTTTCCGACTAACGGAGTTGATTATCTTACCCGTGTGCGAACAATACGCGACATCTGATGACAGACTGCCGTCCACTGCGTTTGATGCTGGAAACTTTCCACTGCTATGGGATGTGCTTTGTAAAGCCGGCTTACCAACGATACTGAACACTTGGGAAACTGTTTGGAAGACAAGTAAGAATCCAACAATTAAAATTCTCCAAATAAAACACCCTACTGCAGCTGGCTTTATTATAGTTATGGTCACAAGCTTTCAATCTGACAAACAAGAATGTTAAATTAGTCAAGCTGGATGAGAAATCTGTACTCAACATCTTCAGAAACTAAGTCTTCTAACATCTTTTTGAAATTATTTTCGAGTTTGCCCCACAACAAGTAAGCCAACCATAGGTAATAATTATGTTGAGAGCATACCGGGCTCCAAAAAAATAGCGTCATTGAAATCCAAACGTTATCTTCAAACTATGGCAATTTTGTCATGTATATAGCATTCCTTGTTTCTTGATTGGATATATATGTGCGTACCTTCGGAGTTTCATAAAATGGAATGTTTTCATAAGGTAGAGTTCGGAGTTCTTATCCTCGGTTATTTCCATCAGGGCAGGATCAACCAGGAATTAAAGTTACACGCTTGCTACCTTTCCAATCTTAAAAACAAGATGTTGAGACTTTTAATCGTGAAACTTACCCTCGCATTGATCAAAGGGGAATTCCTCCACCGTCACCTCACAAAGTTGCAAGGTGCCCGTACCATGGATATTTACGCTGACGTATCGCGCCCTCAACGCCGGAGAGCAATCAAACTCGATGATACCACCACGTGGTTGGGCTTGGGCAGCGGTGACAGGTGAACCACAAGTCGGGTTGATGGTGACATGGGGGCTGTCACCAGCACGCACAACAGCGCCTTCCAGACGTTCGCCTGCACACGGAAGTTCAAACAATCAGTTGGCCATTTTGTTGCAATATTTCCTGATGTTTTCATAACTATAGCCTTCTATTATTTTTCGATTCCGTTATACTTACTGCAGCAGTCTCCACGGTTCAGAATTCGGACTTTGCTGATGCAGTGATCTGCTCCAAGATCGACTCTCCACCATGGATTCGAACTATCACCAACTAAGCAACAAACATTAGTAAAAAATAATGTAAAGAAAGGAAAGCAAACGAGATTCGATTTAGACCTTATCAATACATCTCAAATCATTTGGAAATTTAATTATGTCAAGTTATATGTTTCACGCATGCGCAGTATGGAACGTGACTTAACTTTTTCAGTAGACAAACTTGAGTCCTGCACAAAATCAACAATGAATGTATTTCTATTTTCCTAACAGATGTGATTGCGAAGGCCACCTCGAGATATGTTTCGAACTGATTTGGGGGTTGGTAACTTCAAAACACACACAAACGTTAATTAGTAAGTTAGCCCAAAATAAGTCAAGCAGGAAAACAATTAGCGTTACTGGAGGGGAGGGGTAACGCCCAATACATGAATAGCGCCACCCCTGGTCAGATGTTTTTCCAGTTCCATTCGCAGTGTCCAGCCTGGCCCCACCCCAACTTTTCCGACTAACGATTTTGATTATCTTACCCGTGTGCGAACAATACGCGACATTTGATGACAGACTGCCGTCCACTGCGTTTGATGCTGGAAACTTTCCACTGCTATGGGATGTGCTTTGTAAAGCCGGCTTACCAACGATACTGAACGCTTGGGAAACTGTTTGGAAGACAAGTAAGAATCCAACAATTAAAATTCTCCAATAAAAACATCCTACTGCAGCTGGCTTTATTATACTTATAGCTATAGTCACAAGCTTTCAATCTGACAAACAAGAATGTTGAATTATTCAAGCTGGATGAGAAATCTTTACACAACATCTTCAGAAACTAATTCTACTAACATCTCTTTGAATTTTTTTTCTAGTTTGCCCCACCACAAGTAAACAACCATAGGTAATCATTATGTTGAAAACATACAGCGCTCCAAAAAAATAGCGTCATTCAAATCCGAACGTTATCTTAAAAAATGGCAATTTTTCGTCATGTATATATAATTCCTTGTTTCTTGAATGGATATATGTGCGTACCTCCGGAGTTCTTATCCTCGGTTATTTCCAGCAGGGCACGATCAACCAGGAATTAAAGTCACACGCTTGCTACCTTTTAAATCGTAAAAACAACATGTTGAAACTTTTAACATGAAACTTACCCTCGCATTGATCAAAGGGGAATTCCTCTACCGTCACCTCACAAAGTTGCAAGGTGCCCGTACCAGGGATATTTACGCTGACGAATCGCGCCCTCAACGCCGGAGAGCAATCAAACTCGATGATACCACCACGTGGTTGGGCTTGGGCAGCGGTGACAGGTGAACCACAAGTCGGGTTGATGGTGACATAGGAGCTGTCACCAGCACGCACAACAGCGCCTTCCAGACGTTCACCTGCGCATGGAAATTCAAACAATTAGTTGGCCATTTTGGTGCAATAATCCCTGATGTTTTCATAACTATGGCCTTCTATTATTTTTGGACTCCCGTTATACTTACTGCAGCAGTCTCCACGGTTCAGAATTCGGACTTTGCTGATGCAGTGGTCTTCTCCAAGATCGACTCTCCACCATGGATTCGAACTACCACCAACTAAGCAACAAACATTAGTAAAAGAAATCTAAAAAAAGGAAAACAAACGAGATTCGATCTAGACCTGATGAATACATCTCAAATCATTTGGAAATTTAATTATGTCACGTGATATGTTTCACGCATGCGCAATATGGAACGTGACTTTACTTTTTCAGTCCAAAAATCTGAGTCCTGCACAAAATCAACAATGAATTGTACTTCTTTTTTCCTAACAGATGTGACTGCGTAGGCCACCTCGAGATATGTTTCGACCTGATTTTGGGTTTGGTAACGTACAAAACACACACAAACGTTAATTAGTAAGTTAGCCCAAAATAAGTCAAGCAGGAAAACAATTAGCGTTACTTGAGGGGGAGGGGGAACGCCTAATACATGAATAGCGCCACCCCTGGTCAGATGTTTTCCAGTCCCATTCGCAGTGTCCAGCCTGGCCCCACCCAAACTTTTCCGACTAACGAAGTTGATTATCTTACCCGTGTGCGAACAATACGCGACATCTGATGACAGACTGCCGTCCACTGCGTTTGATGCTGGAAACTTTCCACTGCTATGGGATGTGCTTTGTAAAGCCGGCTTACCAACGATACTCAACGCTTGCGAAACTGTTTGGAAGACAAGTAAGAATCCAACAATTAAAATTCTGCAATAAAAACATCCTACTGCAGCTGGCTTTATTATACTTATAGCTATAGTCACAAGCTTTCAATCTGACAAACAAGAATGTTGAATTAGTCAGCCGGATGAGACATCTTTACACAACATCGTCAGAAACTAAGTCTGCTAACATCTCTTTGACTTTTTTTCTAGTTTGCCCCACCACAAGTAAACAACCATAGGTAATCATTATGTTGAGAACATACAGGGCTCCAAAAAAATAGCGTCATTCAAATCCGAACGTTATCTTTAAAAAATGGCAATTTTTCGTCATGTATATATAATTCCTTGTTTGTTGAATGGATATATGTGCGTACCTCCGGAGTTCTTATCCTCGGTTATTTCCAGCAGGGCACGATCAACCAGGAATTAAAGTCACACGCTCGCTACCTTTTAAATCGTAAAAAAAACATGTTGAAACTTTTAACATGAAACTTACCCACACATTGATCAAAGGGAAATTCCTCCACCGTCACCTCACAAAGTTGCAAGGTGCCCGTACCATGGATATTTACGCTGACGTATCGCGCCCTCAACGCCGGAGAGCAATCAAACTCGATGATACCACCACGTGGTTGGGCTTGGGCAGCGGTGACAGGTGAACCACAAGTCGGGTTGATGGTGACATGGGAGCTGTCACCAGCACGCACAACAGCGCCTTCCAGACGTTCGCCTGCACATGGAAATTCAAACAAACAGTTGGCCATTTTGGTGCAATATTCCCTGATGTTTTCATAACTATAGCCTTCTATTATTTTTGGACTCCCGTTATACTTACTGCAGCAGTCTCCACGGTTCAGAATTCGGACTTTGCTGATGCAGTGGTCTTCTCCAAGATCGACTCTCCACCATGGATTCGAACTATCACCAACTAAGCAAGAAACATTAGTAAAAAAAAAAATAAAAAGAAAGGAAACCAAACGAGATTCGATCTAGACCTTATAAATTCATCTGAAATCGTTTGAAAATTCAATTATGTCACGTGATATGTTTCACGCATGCGCAATATGGAACGCGACTTTACTTTTTCAGTAGAAAAAAACTGAGTCCTGCACAAAATCAACAATGAATTGCACTTCTTTTTTCCTAACAGATGTGATTGCGTAGGCCACCTCGAGATATGTTTCTACCTGATTTGGGGTTTGGTAACTTCAAAACACACACAAATGTTAATTAGTAAGTTAGCCCAAAATAAGTCAAGCAGGAAAACAATTAGCGTTACTGGAGGGGGAGGGGTAACGCCTAATACATGAATAGCGCCACCCGTGGTCAGATGTTTTCCAGTCCCATTCGTAGGGTAGCATAAAATGGCACGACAGTAGAGCGCGTGATGAATATGCATGACTATGACGTCACTAGAAGCTCATGAGTAATATATCACGCACGGTACTGATAGATATACATGTACATGTAGATGCACACTGTATGTGCTGCATCCCACCGATGATATCACATTTAACAAGTCCTCTTTCTACTGTCGCGCCGCCAACCTCTAGTGTCGTCCCACTTGATGATCATCGGTAAGTGGGGCAACAGTAGAGGGTGGCGGCGCGACAGTAGAAAGAGGACTTGTTAAATGTGATATCATCGGTAAGTGGGACGACACTAGAGGGAGGCGGCGCGACAGTAGAAAGAGGACTTGTTAAATGTGATATCATTGGTAAGTGGGACGACACTAGAGGGTGGCGGCGCGACAGTAGAAAGAAGACTTGTTAAATGTGATATCATCGGTGGGATGCAGCACATACAGTGTGCATCTACATGTATATCTATTAGTACCGTGCGTGATATATTACTCATGAGCTTCTAGTGACGTCATAGTCATGCATATTCATCACGCGCTCTACTGTCGTGCCATTTTATGCTACCCATTCGTAGTGTCCAGCCTGGCCCCACCCCAACTTTTCCGACTAACGGAGTTGATTGTCTTACCCGTATGTGAACAATACGCGACATCTGATGACAGACTGCCGTCCACTGCGTTTGATGCCGGAAACTTTCCACTGCTATGGGATGTGCTTTGTAAAGCCGGCTTATCAACGATACTGAACGCTTGCGAAACTGTTTGGAAGACAAGTTATGTGATCATTATGTTGAGAACATCCTGGGCTCCAAAGTATAGCGTTATTGAATCCAAATTTTATCGTTAACAAATTGCAATTTGTTGGCATGTATATATAATTCCTTGTTTCTTGATTGGATATAATGTGTGTACCTTCGGAGTCAAAAACAATTAAAATTCTCCAATAAAATCACCCTACTGCAGGTGGCTTTATTATACTTTTAGTTATGGTCACAAGCTTTTTATCTGACAAACAAGAATGTTGAATTAGTCAAGCTGAATGAGACATATTTACACAACATCTACAGAAACTAAGTCTTCTAACATCTTTTTGAAATTATTTTCGAGTTTGCCCCACAACAACTAAGCAACCATAGGTAATAATTATGTTGAGAGCATACCGGGCTCCAAAAAAAATAGCGTCATTGAAATCCAAACGTTATCTTCAAACCATGGCAATTTTGTCATGTATATAGAATTCCTTGTTTCTTGATTGGATATATATGTGCGTACCTTCGGAGTTTCATAAAATGGAATGTTTTCATAAGGTAGAGTCGGAGATCTTATCCTCGGTTATTTCCATCAGGGCACGATCAACCAGGAATTAAAGTTACACGCTCGCTACCTTTTCAATCTTAATAACAAGATGTTGAGACTTTTAACATGAAACTTACCCTCGCATTGATCAAAGGGGAATTCCTCCACCGTCACCTCACAAAGTTGCAAGGTGCCCGTACCAGGGATGTTTACGCTGACGTATCGCGCCCTCAACGCCGGAGAGCAATCAAACTCAATGATACCACCACGTGGTTGGGCTTGGGCAGCGGTGACAGGTGAACCACAAGTCGGGTTGATGGTGACATGGGGGTTGTCACCAGCACGCACAACAGCGCCTTCCAGACGTTCGCCTGCACATGGAAGTTCAAAAAATCAGTTGGCCATTTTGGTGCAATATTCCCTGATGTTTTCATAACTATAGCCTTCTATTACTTTTGGACTCCCGTTATACTTACTGCAGCAGTCTCCACGGTTCAGAATTCGGACTTTGCTGATGCAGTGGTCTTCTCCAAGATCGACTCTCCACCATGGATTCGAACTATCACCAACTAAGCAACAAACATTAGTAAAACAAAATAAAAAGAAAGGAAACCAAACGAGATTCGATCTAGACCTTATCAATTCATCTGAAATCGTTTGAAAATTCAATTATGTCACGTGATATGTTTCACGCATGCGCAATATGGAACGCGACTTTACTTTTTTAGTAGACAAACTTGAGTCCTGCACAAAATCAACAATGAATGTATTTCTATTTTCCTAAGAGATGTGATTGCGTAGGCCACCTCGAGATATGTTTCGACATGATTTGGGGTTAGGTAACTTCAAAACACACACCAACGTTAATTAGTAAGTTAGCCCAAAATAAGTCAAGCAGGAAACAATTAGCGTTACTGGAGGGGGATGGGTAACGCCCAATACACGAATAGCGCCACCCCTGGTCAGATGTTTTCCAGTCCCATTTGCAGTGTCCAGCCTGGCCCCACCCAAACTTTTCCGACTAACGAAGTTGATTATCATACCCGTGTGCGAACAATACGCGACATCTGATGACAGACTGCCGTCCACTGCGTTTGATGCTGGAAACTTTCCACTGCTATGGGATGTGCTTTGTAAAGCCGGCTTACCAACGATACTGAACGCTTGGGAAACTGTTTGGAAGACAAGTAAGAATCCAACAATTAAAATTCTCCAAATAAAACACCCTACTGCAGCTGGCTTTATTATAGTTATGGTCACAAGCTTTCAATCTGACAAACAAGAATGTTGAATTAGTCAAGCTGGATGAGAAATCTGTACTCAACATCTTCAGAAACTAAGTCTTCTAACATCTTTTTGAAATTATTTTCGAGTTTGCCCCACAACAAGTAAGCCAACCATAGGTAATCATTATGTTGAGAGCATACCGGGCTCCAAAAAAATAGCGTCATTGAAATCCAAACGTTATCATAAAACTATGGCAATTTTGTCATGTATATAGAATTCCTTGTTTCTTGATTGGATATATTACGTGCGTACCTTCGGAGTTTCATAAAATGGAATTTTTTCATGAGATGGAGTCGGAGTTCTTATCCTCGGTTATTTCCATCAGGGCACGATCAACCAGGAATTAAAATTACACGCTCGCTACCTTTCCAATCTTAAAAACAAGATGTTGAGACTTTTAACATGAAACTTACCGTCGCATTGATCAAAGGGGAATTCCTCCACCGTCACCTCACAAAGTTGCAAGGTGCCCGTACCAGGGATGTTTACGCTGACGTATCGCGCCCTCAACGCCGGAGAGCAATCAAACTCGATGATACCACCACGTGGTTGGGCTTGGGCAGCGGTGACAGGTGAACCACAAGTCGGGTTGATGGTGACATGGGGGTTGTCACCAGCACGCACAACAGCGCCTTCCAGACGTTCGCCTGCACATGGAAATTCAAACAATCAGTTGGCCATTTTGGTGCAATATTCCCTGATGTTTTCATAACTATAGCCTTCTATTACTTTTTGACTCCCGTTATACTTACTGCAGCAGTCTCCACGGTTCAGAATTCGGACTTTGCTGATGCAGTGGTCTTCTCCAAGATCGACTCTCCACCATGGATTCGAACTATCACCAACTAAGCAACAAACATTAGTAAAAAAAAATAAAAAGAAAGGAAACCAAACGAGATTCGATCTAGACCTTATAAATTCATCTGAAATCGTTTGAAAATTCAATTATGTCACGTGATATGTTTCACGCATGCGCAATATGGAACGCGACTTTACTTTTTCAGTAGAAAAAACTGAGTCCTGCACAAAATCAACAATGAATTGCACTTCTTTTTTCCTAACAGATGTGATTGCGTAGGCCACCTCGAGATATGTTTCTACCTGATTTGGGGTTTGGTAACTTCAAAACACACACAAACGTTAATTAGTAAGTTAGCCCAAAATAAGTCAGGCAGGAAAACAATTAGTGTTACTGGAGGGGGAGGGGTAACGCCTAATACATGAATAGCGCCACCCGTGGTCAGATGTTTTCCAGTCCCATTCGTAGTGTCCAGCCTGGCCCCACCCCAACTTTTCCGACTAACGGAGTTGATTATCTTACCCGTATGTGAACAATACGCGACATCTGATGACAGACTGCCGTCCACTGCGTTTGATGCCGGAAACTTTCCACTGCTATGGGATGTGCTTTGTAAAGCCGGCTTATCAACGATACTGAACGCTTGCGAAACTGTTTGGAAGACAAGTTATGTGATCATTATGTTGAGAACATCCTGGGCTCCAAAGTATAGCGTTATTGAATCCAAATTTTATCGTTAACAAATTGCAATTTGTTGGCATGTATATATAATTCCTTGTTTCTTGATTGGATATAATGTGTGTACCTTCGGAGTCAAAAACAATTAAAATTCTCCAATAAAATCACCCTACTGCAGCTGGCTTTATTATACTTTTAGTTATGGTCACAAGCTTTTTATCTGACAAACAAGAATGTTGAATTAGTCAAGCTGAATGAGACATATTTACACAACATCTACAGAAACTAAGTCTATTACCATCTTTTTGAAATTATTTTCGAGTTTGCCCCACAACAACTAAGCAACCATAGGTAATCATTATGTTGAGAGCATACCGGGCTCCAAAAAAAATAGCGTCATTGAAATCCAAACGTTATCTTCAAACTATGGCAATTTTGTCATGTATATAGAATTCCTTGTTTCTTGATTGGATATATATGTGCGTACCTTCGGAGTTTCATAAAATGGAATTTTTTCATAAGATGGAGTCGGAGATCTTATCCTCGGTTATTTCCATCAGGGCACGATCAACCAGGAATTAAAGTTACACGCTCGCTACCTTTTCAATCTTAAAAACAAGATGTTGAGACTTTTAACATGAAACTTACCCTCGCATTGATCAAAGGGGAATTCCTCCACCGTCACCTCACAGAGTTGCAAGGTGCCCGTACCAGGGATGTTTACGCTGACGTATCGCGCCCTCAACGCCGGAGAGCAATCAAACTCAATGATACCACCACGTGGTTGGGCTTGGGCAGCGGTGACAGGTGAACCACAAGTCGGGTTGATGGTGACATGGGGGTTGTCACCAGCACGCACAACAGCGCCTTCTAGACGTTCGCCTGCACATGGAAGTTCAAACAATCAGTTGGCCATTTTGGTGCAATATTCCCTGATGTTTTCATAACTATAGCCTTCTATTACTTTTGGACTCCCGTTATACTTACTGCAGCAGTCTCCACGGTTCAGAATTCGGACTTTGCTGATGCAGTGGTCTTCTCCAAGATCGACTCTCCACCATGGATTCGAACTATCACCAACTAAGCAACAAACATTAGTAAAACAAAATAAAAAGAAAGGAAACCAAACGAGATTCGATCTAGACCTTATCAATTCATCTGAAATCGTTTGAAAATTCAATTATGTCACGTGATATGTTTCACGCATGCGCAATATGGAACGCGACTTTACTTTTTTAGTAGACAAACTTGAGTCCTGCACAAAATCAACAATGAATGTATTTCTATTTTCCTAAGAGATGTGATTGCGTAGGCCACCTCGAGATATGTTTCGACATGATTTGGGGTTAGGTAACTTCAAAACACACACCAACGTTAATTAGTAAGTTAGCCCAAAATAAGTCAAGCAGGAAACAATTAGCGTTACTGGAGGGGGATGGGTAACGCCCAATACACGAATAGCGCCACCCCTGGTCAGATGTTTTCCAGTCCCATTTGCAGTGTCCAGCCTGGCCCCACCCACACTTTTCCGACTAACGAAGTTGATTATCATACCCGTGTGCGAACAATACGCGACATCTGATGACAGACTGCCGTCCACTGCGTTTGATGCTGGAAACTTTCCACTGCTATGGGATGTGCATTGTAAAGCCGGCTTACCAACGATACTGAACGCTTGGGAAACTGTTTGGAAGACAAGTAAGAATCCAACAATTAAAATTCTCCAAATAAAACACCCTACTGCAGCTGGCTTTATTATAGTTATGGTCACAAGCTTTCAATCTGACAAACAAGAATGTTGAATTAGTCAAGCTGGATGAGAAATCTGTACTCAACATCTTCAGAAACTAAGTCTTCTAACATCTTTTTGAAATTATTTTCGAGTTTGCCCCACAACAAGTAAGCCAACCATAGGTAATCATTATGTTGAGAGCATACCGGGCTCCAAAAAAATAGCGTCATTGAAATCCAAACGTTATCATAAAACTATGGCAATTTTGTCATTTATATAGAATTCCTTGTTTCTTGATTGGATATATATGTGCGTACCTTCGGAGTTACATAAAATGGAATGTTTTCATGAGGTGGAGTTCGGAGTTCTTATCCTCGGTTATTTCCATCAGGGCACGATCAACCAGGAATTAAACTTACACGCTTGCTACCTTTCCAATCTTAAAAACAAGATGTTGAGACTTTTAATCTTGAAACTTACCCTCGCATTGATCAAAGGGGAATTCCTCCACCGTCACCTCACAAAGTTGCAAGGTGCCTGTACCATGGATATTTACGCTGACGTATCGCGCCCTCAACGCCGGAGAGCAATCAAACTCGATGATACCACCACGTGGTTGGGCTTGGGCAGCGGTGACAGGTGAACCACAAGTCGGGTTGATGGTGACATGGGGGTTGTCACCAGCACGCACAACAGCGCCTTCAAGACGTTCGCCTGCACACGGAAGTTCAAACATTCAGTTGGCCAGTTTGTTGCAATATTCCCTGATGTTTTCATAACTATAGCTTTCTATTATTTTTCGATTCCGTTATACTTACTGCAGCAGTCTCCACGGTTCAGAATTCGGACTTTGCTGATGCAGTGGTCTTCTCCAAGATCGACTCTCCACCATGGATTCGAACTATCACCAACTAAGCAACAAACATTAGTAAAAAAAAATGTAAAGAAAGGAAACCAAACGAGATTCGATTTAGACCTGATCAATACATCTCAAATCATTTGGAAATTTAATTATGTCAAGTTATATGTTTCACGCATGCGCAATATGGAACGTGACTTTACTTTTTCAGTAGACAAACTTGAGTCCTGCACAAAATCAACAATGAATGTATTTCTATTTTCCTAACAGATGTGATTGTGTAGGCCACCTCGAGATATGTTTCGACATGATTCGGGGTTTGGTAACTTCAAAACTCACACCAACGTTAATTAGTAAGTTAGCCCAAAATAAGTCAAGCAGGAAAACAATTAGCGTTACTGGAGGGGGAGGGGTAACGCCCAATACACGAATAGCGCCACCCCTGGTCAGATGTTTTCCAGTCCCATTCGCAGTGTCCAGCCGGCCCTCCACCCCAACTGCTCCGACTAACGAAGTTGTCTATCTTACCCGTGTGCGAACAATACGCGACATCTGATGACAGACTGCCATCCACTGCGTTTGATGCTGGAAACTTTCCACTGCTATGGGATGTGCTTTGTAAAGCCGGCTTACCAACGATACTGAACGCTTGCGAAACTGTTTGGAAGACATGTAAGAATCCAACAATTAAAATTCTCCAACAAAACACCCTACTGCAGCTGGCTTTATTATAGTTATGGTCACAAGCTTTCAATCTGACAAACAAGAATGTTGAATTAGTCAAGCTGGATGAGAAATCTTTTCACAACATCTACAGAAACTAAGACTACTAACATCTTTTTGAGATTAGTTTCGAGTTTGCCCCACCACAAGTAAACAACCATAGGTAATCATTATGTTGAGAGCATACCGGGCTCAAAAAAAAATAGCGTCATTCAAATCCAAACGTTATCTTTAAAAATGGCACTTTTTGTCATGTACCTATAGAATTCCTTGTTTCTTGATTGGATATATATGTGTGCCTTCGGAGTTCTTATCCTCGGTTATTTCCATCAGGGCACGATCAACCAAGAATTAAAGTTACACGCTTGCTACCTTTCCAATCTTAAAAACAAGATGTTGAGACTTTTAATCGTGAAACTTACCCTCGCATTGATCAAAGGGGAATTCCTCCACCGTCACCTCACAAAGTTGCAAGGTGCCCGTACCATGGATATTTACGCTGACGTATCGCGCCCTCAACGCCGGAGAGCAATCAAACTCAATGATACCACCACGTGGTTGGGCTTGGGCAGCGGTGACAGGTGAACCACAAGTCGGGTTGATGGTGACATGGGGGTTGTCACCAGCACGCACAACAGCGCCTTCCAGACGTTCGCCTGCACATGGAAATTCAAACAATCAGTTATTTTGGGCAAGATTCTCTGATGTTTTCATTACTATAGCCTTCTTTATTTTTGGATTCCGTTATACTTACTGCAGCAGTCTCCACGGTTCAGAATTCGGACTTTGCTGATGCAGTGGTCTTCTCCCAGATCGACTCTCCACCAGGGATTTGAACTATCACCAACTGAGCAACAAACATTAGTAAAAAAAAAAATCTAAAGAAAGGAAACCAAACGTGATTCGATCTAGACCTTATAAATTCATCGCAAATCGTTTGTAAATTCAATTATGTCACGTTACATGTTTCACGCATGCGCAATATGGAACGTGACTTTACATTTTTCAGTAGACAAACTTGAGTCCCGGACAAAATCAACAATGAAATGTACTGCTATTTTCCTGACAGATGTGATTACGCAGGCCACCACGAGATATGTTTCCACCTGATTTGGGGGTTGGTAACTTCAAAACAAACACAAACGTTAATTAGTAAGTTAGCCCAAAATAAGTTAAGCAGGAAAACAATTAGCGTTACTGGAGGGGGAGGGGTAACGCCCAATACATGAATAGCGCCACCCCTGGTCAGATGTTTTCCAGTCCCATTCGCGGTGTCCAGCCTGGCCCAGCCCCAACTTTTCCGACTAACCGGCGAAGTTGATTATCTTACCCGTGTGCGAACAATACGCGACATCTGATGACAGACTGCCGTCCACTGCGTTTGATGCCGGAAACTTTCCACTGCTATGGGATGTGCTTTGTAAAGCCGGCTTACCAACGATACTGAACGCTTGGGAAACTGTTTGGAAGACAAGTAGAGAATCCAACAATTAAAATTCTCCAACAAAACACCCTACTGCAGCTGGCTTTATTATACTTATAGTCATGGTCACAAGCTTTCAATCTGACACACAAGAATGTTGAATTAGTCAAGCTGGATGAGAAATCTTTTCACAACATCTACAGAAACTAAGACTACTAACATCTTTTTGAGATTAGTTTCGAGTTTGCCCCACCACAAGTAAACAACCATAGGTAATCATTATGTTGAGAGCATACCGGGCTCAAAAAAAAAAATAGCGTCATTCAAATCCAAACGTTATCTTTAAAAATGGCAAGTTTTGTCATGTACCTATAGAATTCCTTGTTTCTTGATTGGATACAATGTGTGTACCTTCGGAGTTCTTTTCCTCGGTTATTTCCATCAGGGCACGATCAACCAAGAATTAAAGTTACACGCTTGCTACCTTTCCAATCTTAAAAACAAGATGTTGAGACTTTTAATCGTGAAACTTACCCACGCATTGATCAAAGGAGAATTCCTCCACCGTCACCTCACAAAGTTGCAAGGTGCCCGTACCATGGATATTTACGCTGACGTATCGCGCCCTCAACGCCGGAGAGCAAGCAAACTCGATGATACCACCACGTGGTTGGGCTTGGGCAGCGGTGACAGGTGAACCACAAGTCGGGTTGATGGTGACATGGGGGTTGTCACCAGCACGCACAACAGCGCCTTCCAGACGTTCGCCTGCACACGGAAGTTCAAACATTCAGTTGGCCAGTTTGTTGCAATATTGCCTGATGTTTTCATAACTATAGCCTTCTATTATTTTTCGATATCGTTATACTTACTGCAGCAGTCTCCACGGTTCAGAATTCGGACTTTGCTGATGCAGTGGTCTTCTCCAAGATCGACTCTCCACCATGGATTCGAACTATCACCAACTAAGCAACAAACATTAGTAAAAAAAAATGTAAAGAAAGGAAACCAAACGAGATTCGATTTAGACCTGATCAATACATCTCAAATCATTTGGAAATTTAATTATGTCAAGTTATATGTTTCACGCATGCGCAATATGGAACGTGACTTTACTTTTTCAGTAGAGAAACTTGAGTCCTGCACAAAATCAACAATGAATTGTATTTCTATTTTCCTAACAGATGTGATTGCGTAGGCCACCTCGCGATGTGTTTCGACCTGATTTGGGATTAGGTAACTTCAAAACACACACAAACGTTCATTAGTAAGTTAGCCCAAAATATAAAGTCAAGCAGGAAAAAAAATAGCGTTACTGGAGAGGGAGGGGTAACGCCTAATACATAAATAGCGCCACCGCTGGTCAGATGTTTTCCAGTCCCATTCGCAGTGTCCAGCCTGGCCGCACCCCAACTGTTCCGACTAATGAAGCTGATTATCTTACCCGTGTGCGAACAATACGCGACATCTGATGACAGACTGCCGTCCACTGCGTTTGATGCTGGAAACTTTCCACTGCTATGGGATGTGCTTTGTAAAGCCGGCTTACCAACGATACTGAACGCTTGGGAAACTGTTTGGAAGACAAGTAAGAATCCAACAATTAAAATTCTCCAACAAAAACACCCTACTGCAGCTGGCTTTATTATACTTATAGTTATGTTCACAAGCTTTCAATCTGACAAACAAGAATGTTGAATTAGTCAAGCTGGATGAGAAATCTTTACACAACATCTTCAGACTACTTATCTTAAGTCTACTAACCCTTTTTTGAAATTATTTTCTAGTCCCCTCCCCCATGAAACCTTGTCGCACCCCATGACGGCCCATTATTTCCGACCCATTATGTCTGACGGCGACTATGTCCGACCCATTGTGTCCGACGACCGATTATGTCCGACCCATTATGTCAGACTGCCGATTATGTCCGACGGCCGTTTATGTCCGACCCATTGTGTCCGACGGCCGATCGAGGATTTTGTTCAATTTGCATGTAGGTCTACATTGCTGATAATGTGGCAGGCAAATTTTATCTTTACCACTAAGTGTGACGGCCGTTTATGTCCGACCCATTGTGTCCGACGGCCGATCGAGGATTTTGTTCAATTTGCATGTAGGTCTACATTGCTGATAATGTGGCAGGCAAATTTTATCTTTACCACTAAGTGTGACAATTCGGCCGTATTTAGAAGCATTCACTCATAAAAGTAAGATTGGATTTGAACAGAATTGGATACCAAGAAGCCGATTTTGTACGGTAAACTCTGAAAGTTTGTTGTCATAATATTGTGGAGTCCTATAAAATCTTATTTATTTCATCCTCTATTTTACACTCTAGTTACTCTCACAAGTGACTTTTAATGTCCTAATTATGTTGTGCACTCTATGAAGGAATCTCTTCATAGAGTGCAAATTCCTCACTGAGTGCAATTGCAACACTTATCGGAATCAGGACCCATTGTCCGACGGCCGATTATTCCCGACCATTATGTCTGACGGCCGATTATGTTCTACCCATGGTGTCCGACGACGGGATACGTCCAAGCTTATTGTATGTACGTGGTCGATTACGCCGGATTCATTCGGTTGTGTGCTGACATTATTAAATTATCTTTGGATTGTAACTGCATATATTTGGCTTTCGGGCCATCGCAGATTTGTAATTTGAAAAACTATAGGTAGAATATAGTAATTTCTAACTTTTCAAAATGGCTGACATTGCTTGTTATTATACCTATATTTTTTGTAAGGACAAACCTGCAGTGGCCCTATAGCCAAATAGATTTCTCAAGACATACGCTGACTGTGTGTGCCAGATTCTCTGCTTTTATCATCAAATGAACAATTCCATCACTGTTCCCATCTTAATATTTAAGTGTTTCCAAGTTTTTAAGTTTCATTTCAATTTTTCAAACTCTTGCTATTTACATGATTATTATGTAGTTCTTGTTAAATGTAGTTAAAACGTATTATGTAGTTAAAACTATTTTGTTTAATACTTACTGTAGTTGGCGAGATTCTTTGTTTACTTCATCGTCATCAACAGCATCATCGCCCTTGTTATCACTATTTCTTGTAACCGTCTATACACAAATTTCTAGGCACTGTAGGGCAATCTGGTTTAATCAGTATTTTTCGTTAATGAAACTAATATCAGTAAAAGGAGATGGGTCATACATAAAACCACAGTTATGATTTGCATTGAATTTGATTTAACAGTAAGAAGTATCTAAAGAAATAAGTTAGGCCGTTGTGGTTGTAATTGTCAAATTCATAGTTTTTTCTTTGATTTTCCTCTGCCAGCGTTAACGGTACATTTGTATCGGCTTTTCTGTTAAACCGTATACCTTTTGTTAATCGCTTGATTTATATTTTGAGTAAATATCAAACCGGTATATGATACAGCGATGATAATGTTGATGTTGATAATGATATTGATAGTGGATGATTTGTAGATTTACTCTTGATCTTATTGGCAAAGATTAAAAAGCCGAATTAATTAAAATTGTGTCGATTGCGTTGAATTATTACTGCTATCAATATTCAAAATACAGTTACTACTGTTATCAATATTCAGAATACCCAAAGTCGTCAGTGGCTTTAATATTTTTAGTGGGACTGTGTGGGTTAGTTTTCATAAGGTTGCCCCGAATTGGCTACCAGAAGGGCACAATTAGCCCAAAGGTCAACGTGTACCTACACATTTTCGCCACTATAGTTATCTCTTCATCTATGTTTATTCCAAAACGAAACCACACTCCTGATATAAGGTCACATCCATTAAAAAAAATGTAAACGCACAACCTTACAATACGTGATTTTTTTTTTTAGTATACACTTATCTTCCGAGATTATCTCGAATTTTAGGTCTCGCACTTTTAAAATTGTGCCCCTCCGTTTAAACGAAACATCGCCAGCTCTTTACCACTATTATGCACAATTGAAACGATATTGGGTCATTCCATGTCAGACCAACGCACTTTTTTACCTCATGTTTTCCGATTTTGATAAAAATTGCTGTGCTTGTAGGTCCTGATGAGCAATAAATGCACACCAATTTTTAGCCCGATCCGACCAACCATGTGGTCAGGGCAGAAACTACGAAAAACGGACACTTTTAGAGTAAAATGACACCCTTTTGGTAGAAATATGTCAAAACCGTGTTAATTTTCATCGAATATATGCGAATTTGGTATTAAAATAATAAGAATGGCATGCTCAAACCAACTCTTTTGTAAAAATTAAATTTTGTGAAAAGGAGATCAAGTGACCTTTAATATGTTATCGTGACCTTTGACCCAATTTATGTAATACTGTATCATTCCGTAATGAAAATTACTTGATAGAACATGTCTTCCTCTATCAGAATCTACTTAAAATTAATTGGGGTCTTCAAAATTAACAACTTTATGACTATTTTTGTACAGTTGGTGGGTACAAATGAGTTAATTTATGACTTTACATTAGAAATCCACCCACACAACTTACCATTCTGTTTCTAAAGGTACTTAAATTAATCTTGGTTTGGGCATTTCTTATGTTTAGGGCTGATGAGGTATAACCAGACTCATAATATAAATTATCAGTAGTGGCGCACCCAGGATTTGGCATTTGGGGGGGGGGGGCTCATAGCTTTTTGTTGTCAAATTTCTGTAGAAGATTGAACAAAAAAAATCAAACAAACAAATTGACAACCTTGGAGGGGGGTGGGTTCAAGTCCCTTGATCCCCCCCCCCCCCCCCCCCCGTGCCACTGATAATTAGATATCCAACGAGCGCGCTTGGAATATTGGAATATGAAACAATGCAATGCTGCTGTGACCAATATACGACTCGACACACTACATTATTCCGTGTTCCACGAGCCATAACGAATTTATCTTCAAGCAAACTTGATGTCGAATGCGTACATTGCACGTGGCGACAGATGTAGGTGCATAGTGTATCGGACCGTTCAGCAGCAAATAAAAAGAACACAATACATACATGTACATGTACATTCGATATTTGGGGCGCAATATAGCTGTGCAGTACTATATCAAATCACACTGTTGTTGCTATAGATGGACTAATCAGGATCTAGGATTCAAGGTTGCTTGAAGATAATACTCAATATCGCAATCAAAGTTACCTTACTCATTCATCACTACGCTTCTTGAAATTTAATGAGTCTCACAGACTTGGCAATTTTTTCCTTCGAGATAAATTTCACCTGGATGTGTGTCTACTGTACTGGGTCCGGGTAGAAAGCATAGAGCTGTTGCGTACCCTAAACAGTAACGGGGGGGGGGGTGCTCTAGGGGCTGGAGCCAACCCCCCTCCTCCCTCCAAGGTTGTCAATTTGTTTGTTTGATTTTGGCTTAATTTTTTTTGTTCAATCTTCTACAGAAATTTGAAAACAAACAAATTATGAGCCCCACCCCCCCCACACAAAAAAAGCAAAATCCTGAGTGCGCCACTGCTGATAATATATATTATGAGTCCGGTTATACCTCATCAGCCCTAAACATGAGAAATTCCCAAACCAAGATTAATTTAAGTAGCTTTAGAAACAGAATAGTAAGTTGTGGGGGTGGATTTCTAATGTAAAGTCTATAAATTAACTCATTTGTAACCTACCAACTGTACAAGAATAGTCATAAAGTTGTAAATTTTAAAGACCCCAATTGATATTTAGTGGATTCTGATAGAAGAAGACATGCTCTATCAAGTAATTTTCATTTCGTTGATTTTTGGAATGATACATTAGTACATAAATTGGGTCAAAGGTCACGATAACATATTAAAGGTCACGTGACCTACTTTTCACAAAATTTAATTTTTACAAAAGAGTTGGTTTGAGCATGCGATTCTTATTATTTTGATACCAATTCGCATATATTCGATAAAAATTTACATGGTTTTGACATATTTCTACCAAAAGGGTGGTATTTTACCCTAAAAATGTCCGTTTTTTGTGGTTTCTTCCCTGACCATATGGTAGGTCGGATCGGTCTAAAAATTGGTGTGCATTCATTGCTCATCAGGACCTACAAGCACAGCAATTTTTATCAAAATCGGAAGACATGAGGTAAAAAAGTGCGTTGGTCTGACATGGAATGACCCTATTACATTTATCGATACTTGTCAGAATTCTCCAAACCAAATTTCCACACTACAAAAGAAAAATGCCCTAAATTGCTGTAAAAAAACCTAGTTAAGGGAAGGAATTAAAGAAATAATGAATGAAAAGAAAAGCAATGACAGTTCACATAGTATTCACTAGACTACATCAGTGACTCCTTCCACTGAGTTGTTTTATTCATTAAATTATTTAATGTACATGTATTGCGCCATACGCTGCAATTATCCATGTAGGACCGACTTTAGTAGAATAGAAAAAACTTGCCTCTGGTAAAATGCAGTCCTCGGCACGCCCTGGGGATAGGGCGCCCTCATTCGAGCGGTGCTTTACTGGATTTCATTTTTTCACTTTTACTCACCGCCCTTTATAACCATTTACAGAGTCCTGATTCCGATAAGTGTAGAAATTGCACTCTATGAAGAGATTCCTTCATAAAGGGCAAAACATAATTAGGACATTGCACTCTATGAAGAGATTCCTTCATATGAAGAGATTCCTTCATAAAGGGGAAAACATAATTAGGACATTGCATTCTATGAAGAGATTTCTTCATAGAGTGCAAAACATAATTAGGACATTAAAAAGTCATTTGTGAGAGTAATTAGAGCCTAAATTAGAGGATAAAATAAATCAGATTTCATAGGACGCCAAAATATTATGACAACAAACTTTCAGAGGTAACCGTACACAATTGGTTAGGGGAAATCAGCTTCTTGGTATCCAATTCTGTTCAAATCCAATCTTACTTTAATGAGTGAATGCTTCTAAATACGGCCGCTTTATCACACTAAGTGGTAAAGATAAGATTTGCCTAACACATTATCAGCAATGTAGACCTACATGCAAATTGAACAAAATCCTCGATCGGCCGTCGAACACAATTGGTCCGACATAATCGGCAGTCGGACATAATGGGTCGGACATAATCGACCGTTGGACACAATGGGTCGGACTTAATCGGCCGTCGGATACAATGGGTCGGACATAATCGGACACCGGACACAATGGGTTGGACATAATCGGACGTCGGACACAATGGGTCGGACATAATCGGCCGTTGGACACAATGGGTCGGACATAATTGGACGTCGGACACAATGGGTCGGACATAATGGGTCGGACATAATCGGCCGTCGGACACATTGGGTCGTCGCTCATCAAAATCTGTTGTCGGACGTAATCGACCAAACGGACATAATGGTCGTCAACACATGTATATAGAAATCCTTGTTTCTTGATTTGATATGTGCGCGTACCTTCGGACTTCTTATCCTCGGTTATTTCCATCAGGGCACGATCAACCAGGAATTGCAACTCCTCCTCCTGAAAATTAATGAACAAGGAAAAATCCGACCCTTTGTAATATAAAAATGCCTTTAGCACTTATACTGCCCAGGTTGGCAGATGGTCTCTCTACAAATTGATGTAAACTGATGTGTTGCCTGCTGAAAATGTGCGTGCAAAGGGGCACCTAGTAACTGCCAGCCATCTGGAAATAGTCAATAGGCCCACTGATATAGTCTTACAATTTTAGGCAAACTGATGAAACACAAACTCAACATTTTAAGTTAATGTCCCAATAGACATATGGCTAATTTTAAACTGATACGGCGAAAGCCTTCTCGTATTCGTCATCGCAAGTTATTTATTTGCTCTTCCGCTTAAATGCGGAAAAGCCTTTGTTTTGGTTAATTTTTGTTATTTATTTTTTTTAAATTGTTTTCTCCCCCAGGTCTGATAGACTTTGTAGATTTTGTCTTCAGCCCATCACTTTGAATATAAAACAAAGTCGTTTTCCTATAAAACTTAGGTAAAGACCCCATAGTGAACTCGTGTCCCGAAGAGTGACGTCATGATGACCTCATCATGGGTAACGTGACGTCATCCTGAAGTTGCACATTTTAAAGTACTATATCTAGAGAACTGTAAGTTGGATTGTGTTCAAACTTGGTATGTAGGTAGACTGGGATGTGTTACAGGTTAACAATTGAAATGGCGTCATGATGACATCATCGTGTGATTTTATATGGATTTTTGAATTTTAGACCTTTAAGCCATATCTAAACACCAGAACAAGCTAAATTTAAAATTCTTTTTGTAATAGGTATGTTAGGTCATACATATTTGCACAGAAATGTGACAAGTGTGTGACGTCAACCTTTGTTTTAATCACATAAATACGGGTTAACCCGATCGTCTTGAAACTTAAATGGTGGATAGATACTGTTGTTAGTATGCAAAATCGGTCATGATGACGTCATCACCTGATTTATTATATATTTTTTTAACAATGTACATTTAATTTTAACAGCACAATTTGACATAAAATGCAATCGGATTGACTTCAAACCGGCACAGACAAAGACCCCAAAGTTTAAGTTGGCCCTAGACAAGTTATGTCATGATGACGTCATCAATGGCCATGTGACGTCACCTTAACTGTGTGTATTTAAAGATTTATATCTAGAAAGCTGTAAGTCTGATTGGGTTTGAACTTGGTACCTACATACACAGGAAGGTGTAACAGACACAAATTGGAGTAACAATTAATGATGACGTCATCATGGACCATGGGAAGTCATCTTAAAGATGGATAACTACGAGAACAGCCAAATAAGTCATTCACTATATTCATTGCATATAATTTTCCTGACTCCATATGGACGAAAACAAAACCTAAACTCATAAAAAACATAACGCAGAAAAGCATTATGTTCTGTTCCTTGAACAGACATAGATCTAGTTTCGTTTTTAATTGTTTTTATGTCATCAGGCTTGAGCGACATTTACACCAACAAAAATAATACCTCTTAGGTATCAATTTAAAAGTACCAATACGTATAAATAATTACTGTTCACCGGCTCCGTCGTTACCCCGTGAAATGTCACAGCAACATCATTGTATCAATTACAGCGTTCGATATCGATAGCGTCTAGAATATATTTTACTTCTGTTTTATGTTCATAAATTAAAGAAGGCCTACTCATATTACAATATGCCAACTGCTGTCACCAGTTAGCGTACCCTGTAGAACATTAAAGTTGAATTATGTAGATAAATACCACTTTCCAAATTATGTACTTTTAAACATGTACAACACCTATATATGAGCAATAATTGATAGATTGGGCGGTATATCAACATAAAATACTTATTACTTAATATGTTAGAAAGTCTCGAGTAAAGGAAATTAAAATCCTCATGATACCTATGAAGATAAACACGAAGGGCTGCCTACTTGCTTCTGACTGACCGACGGACCAACGGACCGACGGACGGACCGACCGACCGACCATCCCACCCACCACGGATCCTACACACAAGGATTAACGACTCGGCCCAACTCCTGGTTAGAAGCGTGATAACGGCCTGTACTGGTGGCAAATACCATGAATACTTTTTCAACAAAGACCACTGCGCGCGGTGGCTTTCAGATTTGCAAGGCTCTTCGAACGATCTGGCCTCAAAGTTTGTCAAGCCAGCGAATTACATATTTGAATATTCATGAGTCTACGTTTTTGGTCTTTTTTATTGAATTCTGATAAGTGATAACTACATAACCATGGTAATGCCGAGCACAATATCTTTAGCTTTAAGATGAACAATGAAATGTCGCTTTTGTTTCATCGGTTCGGCATCCTATCTCTCTAAAACTTTTTAATAAAAGCCTAATTAAAAACGAAATTTGGGTAAACGGTGTTCTCCTCGAAATTTGACGTTTATTTCCCGGGTAAATACTTCATCTATGACGACAAAAACTGCACAATACCATTTGTTATATCCTGAAGTTTTTTTTTTTTTTATAATTGGGAACAATTATATCTTTAATTAAGAAGTAGTTTAACTTACAGTTTTATGAATATTTCCGTTTTAGATGTCGTGCAAAAACCCAACACAATGGCACATCTGGAAAATTCGCGATTACGCGCCAACGGGTATTAATGCCTGTTATCACGCGTCTAACCAATTAAGGCAAATCCACTGAGTGCATTTTGTACTAGAGCTCACAACAGTCGTTTATACTGGTGTCTAGGATCTGTGCACCCACCCACACACACACGCTTACACCCAGAGAAGTGGGGTACTTCCTTTGTTTTCGTGTACTAGAATTTTAAAATGTCGCACACTAATTTCAAAATGCTCTTACTTTAACCAGAATTAATTTCCTGGGCTGAAATTCGGACTTAATATCCCTTTTCTAAAACTCTTCCATTTGTGACTGATAAACCCACCTCGGAAATTCCTATTTTTTGAGTAAAATCCATTTATATATTTCGTGAAAAACTTGTGGGGTACCAAAACGGTACCCCGCAAGTCGGTGGGCATTCCTTATGGGGACCTCCCATTGTTCCGGTATCCCCTAAGGCAGTGTTTATTCGTTCATGGAAGTGTGTATTTGCCTGCAATCGGGGACCCCCCTCTTTTGTTTGTTCTCTAACTTTTTAGGGAGACCTCCGATATGTTTTGTACACGAATCCAAATTGGGGACCTCTCGGGAATTGGGGACCCTATTGTCCTCTATTGTTCAACGTCCCCTATTGAATGCAGAAACAAACTCACCACCCACCCTAGCACCCACCCAGCGACTGACTGGGTCACAAGGTGTACATTATGTTCTAAACTATCAAGTTAGGCGAACCCTCAAATTAGAATCCCTCCCCGGACCGTTCGGGGTTGAGCCCGCCCAGTATGTTGAAGGGATTGGGACCTTGCATGGAACCGATCGGCCTGGATTAACTCCACCATGCTTCTGCACCATGGCTCTGGCTCATCACAAAGGAACCAATTTGTGACGCGCTAATCCTCCAGTAGGCAACAATGACTGTGATGAGCTTCAAAGAAGTTGCCGCTGGTAATCCCAGCTGGCCGAATAATCCTCCAACAATGGCCAGACTTCATTTATGTTGCCTACTGTGAAACCCTGAGTCACCCGTTTGGACCGATTGGGGCGTCACGCTTCAGTGACCGGGTGGCTTCTGGCTTCATACCGATTGGGGTGAAAGAAATTAGCATACCGGACCCGGTACCCGAACGGTCTGTTATCTGATGGCTCGCCTTAGGACTGTCCAACCACTGACCAACTGAAGCTGTCCAGTTGAGAATGACCAGTAGCGACTGTCGATTGTTTTTGGTCCACCTTGGACCGGTAAGCTTAATTGTTTCTTAATAAATAACTATTTTTTTCCAGATTCCATGTTGAACCATTAAAGCGTTTGCATTTCCTTTTTTGCGAGTCAGAATTAATACAATTATCCAACTACGGGCGTTTTTTTGGACGCTGTTATCTCATTCATTTTTTTTTTGTCAATCAAAATTGATGTTTAATAAGCGCATTGTTGATATGATATGGCAAAAAGAAAGATACGTTTTCTTTCAGAGAAGTAAATTGCTGTTAAAAGGTATGAAACCCGGCTTTGCCCTTGCCCTTACCAACTTTCTCTCAAATGCCATTCGTTATGGAGTTCATAGAGGAAAAATCTTACCCCGTTCAAGGCGTCGGCGATCTGGAACCCCGCTAATCCCAGCACCAATATAGCAGCAGCTACCCAGTGAAACAATCTCATCTTGATTTCAGAAACTTGGAAGGAAAAACGGTTAAAACAAGCACGCTGCAGCCTAGAGAACGCTAGTGACACCACACACCAGACTGAGGGAGTGGCAGAAGGTGTTATGTTTTATACCCAGACAAATGCCTCTATCCCATAATATTTGCGGAAAAAAAACCGAGCATGGTTAACTGCACATTGAATCTGAAACCGAGGCAATAGTTATGTATTTCTTTTCAGTCGTAATGGGCTTACCGCTGACATCCACAAACTACTCCTCAGTTGTTTTAATTGGGCTTAGGCTTATTTTACCTTCAAATTACTTATCACCCTGAATTTGAATTTTCCACAGGCCTGTAAAGAGCTAATCCTGGCATGACCCACGGCTTCGTTAAAACGGGGCGCCCGCTCGCAATGACCTTTCATTGAGCACTATGACTATGAGCACCTGAACGCACCACTTATTGCACCATTCAAGTCTGTTCGATCTGGTCGTTACGTTCATTTAGAGAAGATTGTTTTCGAAGCAAATATTGCTATTCTTTCTTCGATGACCTGGACATGCAAGGACCTGAAAAAACGCCATACGAAGTCATGAATATGTACGCGATAACATCGTGTACTACACAGTGACGTAACTAGGGTTACACTTCTGGGGGCACCTGGGGATTCACACATTTTTTTTTGAAGGGGCGCTGGGGCTGAAGGCAGATGATATACATGTATATTTTTGTTCACGGTACAGGTAGTTTACTTGAGCTTACATAAAACTTGAGTTAGTCACTAAGCCACCGGAACGGTTACTTAATATGTCTTTACCTTTAGCGTCTCGGATATCACCTCTGGTGAACAGGTTCTTAATTAATGGCAGCAAATTGCAAATCTATGTCAACCTTGAACACCTAAACATATATTAAACGCGTCCCTTAATCTTGCACGGTAATGAAACTGGGGGAGAAATACTGGCAGAACTATAATGCATTTATTGTGACCACTTAATTTGGTTATATTGAAGTAATAAACAGAGTCAGATTTCTGCTCTGCGAAATTATTAGGGCCACGTTGGCGTGCAGCCTATTATTTAAGTACAAAACACCAGCCGGGTGACATCCAAGAAATGATGGTACCTAAACGGTTCATCTTTGGCTTGATAAGCCGTCATCTGTACATGGGTTGCACTGGTGGTAACGGGATGTGTAAAGCCTCCATTGATGGTCGTAGATGGGCGTGTCCCCCTCCTTGGATCGGGTGGGGTACAGAGCAATCAAGATGGGAGGTTTCTTGGTCACGCCGCGGTCTCAAGAGGAAACCAATTTTATCCTGCGCCTATTGCCATACTCGGTTTGCTTTTGGATCAATTGCAATTATTTCGACGAAGAAAGTTTGTTGGAATTTGAAATTTTGATTCTTAAACAAATAACGGGTTAATGGCTTCTGACTAGCGCCCTTGAACACACATATTGACTACTTGTAGTACGGCTTACTTAGGGCTGATTAACTAGCACGCCGATACGGTACTCTCGGGTTTTTTTTATAGGTACGTGGAAGTGTCAGGATGTTACCGATATGATGAGGTGGAGTTCAGGAATTGGGCGGCTAAAGAACCTAATAACTACAACAGTAATGAGGACTGCCCTCAGGCATACGCTTCTGGGACATGGAATGATGTGTTATGTGATTTGAAACGCCCTGCAATATGCAAAGCTGCCACCAGCCTGCGCTGCACTTTCTAAACCACTGGCATATAAACACAATTTTGTCGTAAATAATGAGCATATATTACGGGTGCCTTTTGCTAGATTCGAACCTGGAACTGTGAGGCGGAAACTCGAAGCCCTTGCATTTTGTTAATAAAAAAGAGGAAGAAGTATTATGTGTACATGTTAAGCATTAACTTTGTCGAGTGGCTATTTAAAGACATTTGGAAAAAAATGTTATTTTTAATTTCAAAATTCAGTTACGGAATCCAATGTTAAATCCTGAAAAATAGCAAAGACTGCCCTGTAACTGACACTATGATCTCGCTGTGGTCACACTCTGGGGGACACTGTTATCACAACGTGGAGACACTATGATCTCGCTGTGGTCACACTATGGGGGACATTGTGATCACACCGTGGAGACACTATGAAATCACGCATACTGAAATTTGTATCCTTGTGGAGACTTTTCTTTGTTCTCGTGTAGTAAAGTTTTCGAGTTTGACAAGTGAAGTTTCAAAATGCTCTTATTTTAACCATAATTAATTGGCTGAAATTCGGACTTAATATCCCTTTTCTAAAAATCTTCCATTTGCGACGGATCAACCCACCTTGGAAATTCCTAGTTTTTGAGTAAAATCCATATATCTATTTTGTGAAAATCTTGTGGAGACGTATTCATCTATAGAAATTGCCCTGTGGAGACGTATACAATCTTTTGTTCCCTATTGTGTGCACGTCTCCAGTGTATCAGATCATACTGTGTGGCCGGACTCGGTGCGCTTGCTTATGGTGTACATTGAGGACATACACGTGCAACATCGTCGATGAATCAAGGACAGGAACCAAATCGAGGACTCCTCGGTTAGAAAACGTGTACACAACCAATGAGAGCTCTTGAGAAAAAGTTAATAGTATAAACAAAGGAAAAGGGAAGAGGAACAATTTACGCTCGATTTACACTATTAACAAACGTGGGTGTTCACACAGTGTGTGTGCATTTATTACATTCACTGTGTGGACTCCGAACAAAAGATGTCCACATAAACCAGTTTTCAGATACGTTGTGTGGACTTGCCCACGCAAGGTTTTCCTCACTCTGGAAAACAGGTTTAGAGGCATTTTTGGGTTAGGTTTATCCGTCGCAAAATCAAGAGAAACACTCAAAGGAATCATAGAAAAATAAGGGAATAACAGTGTGAGGAGCCGGTCTTCACTGCGTGATAACGAAATAAACAGTTAAAAGGCTCCAATTTTGTTACTTTCTTTTTGCAATATTTCCAGACTTTTTTGTGTTCATGTTCATGGGCCATATTTTAACTTATTCGTGGTACCCTGTCTCTTCAGTAAGCGTTGTTATATACACCACAGCCGGGCCCAGGCTGCTCTGGACAACGTTTTCATTGCGTACGCGTACGGCGTCCAGGGTTTGGACTTCTGTTGCCGTAGCGAAACAAATTACAACAATGTTTTCATATACTTACCTGATGGAGGAAGCTGACATTTCGTTTACACATTTCTTGTGCCCAGAATTACAAAAATGCTTGGTTTAGGAAAGGTAAATATGTCGATGGGCGAAGTGTTTAAAGAAAATAAATCGTAGATCTACGCTTTCGTCGTAAACATACCCAGTAAACATCCTGCTGTACGATATCGTTTTAAAATTTCCTTACGCGCGCGCACCCATAGCAACTGTGTTGCGTACGCGCGCGTCACAGTCTCACGCGAAGGTGGTTGAGCGCAAGTGCAGTGCTGTATTGTTACAACCTGCCGTATGACTGTTGTTTTAAGCATACAAACATTACTCATGGAACAGCAAAACACTGAACATTAAAGAATAACATTTGAATTAACTGTGGCTGAATTCCTTTTGGATGTCTTCTTTACTGATGGCGGCCGCACCGGTGTCAGTGGCTGGTGTGTCTGCCTGATTATCACAGGCGCAATCGGGCTTGTCGTGTTGTGTCGTTTCGACCACACTGTCCTTTGCAACGGTTGACGTTTCCTCCAAATTCGGGGTAATCCTCCGTTTCTAATGCCGATAATCTCTTCTGAATATCGTTGAGCAAAGTCAACAGTTGTGTATTTTCACCAGAATCGTGTTCTGCAACAGACATTTTGTGTCAATTTGACGATTTTTTACGGCATCGAAAGCCGGATCATGCGGCGTGAATGCGCGATAAAACACAAGACCCCGGATGTCATGACCTGAATTGTAAACAGGGCAGAGGTCATGACATCCAAGCCAACAGTGTGGGTGCGCTGTTCCATTGTAATTACTGTAAATTTGGCCAATCATTGCCTTCCATGGGGCTGCATCAATGCTGGTTCAGGAGCCATTTTTTCGCTTGTTCTTTGAAGCCGGTCTTTATATCACCGTTATAATACACACCCACGTGATCGAGTCTCGACCAATCAGAAACCATCAACTCTCCGAGGTATTTATTTATATTGGTTGAAAGAGTTTTCACAGTGCGAGTAAACTAGTTTGTTTCCACAGGTTTTTCTTAACTGCAAAAAAAAAAGAAGGAATGTCCACACTAGGTATGTAACGTAAACATGCGTGTTTTGTTTCATATTCACAGTGTCGCACACAGAGAACAGAGTGTGATCACACTGTGATCACTGAGTGCTTTAACCGTATGAACACAGTGTGTTCTCACAGTGATCCACACTATGGTAACAGGGGGACATTTTTAAGGGTACAGCAGAGGGAAGTAGCCATGTTCATAGTAAGGAGGGTTTTATGTTTGATGATGAAGAGATCTTTTCAATGTTTTCAACAGCTTTTAAAACCTGGATGTAAACTTCTCGTGATTGAATATCATTATGGAAAAAATAAATACAAATTAAGATATATCATGATTGATACTTAAGGTGTTAGTGTAAAAATGGAATGTATTAATCGTGGATGTAAATGCAAACCTACATTAAACATGTGTGATCTTATCCCGAAGACTTTGATATCTAGGTCCACTTAAATTTGAATTTTGGGTTCACATTCCACAAACAGTGTCAATGATTGCAACACAGTAAACAATATAAATACATGCTAATCACAACACCTTCAAGTTCAAACCAAGCACGGCATATCTAATACATTCAGTTGTTATGATGAAATGTTCATCATTAGAGACTGCCATAGTCCGAGCCTTACCAACGGGACTCGCAATTATTGTTGATATCAGGGGCGTAGCACGGTCATTTTTATTGCGGGGGGGGGGATTTTTTGAAAAGGGCACTTGTACATCCGTTGTGAAATCTACACAGGTTTTTTCTCCGGACACTTGGCCTCTGTAAAATCAACCAATCATCTAACGGTGGTCTGCAGTTACCAGCAACAGCACGCGCGCCATGGCTGTCTGGCGCCAGACGACGGCTGCATGATTT